GAACTCCTCTTTACATCATCTGTCATCACATCAAAGCCAGAGATGACTATGAATAATAATAATAATAATAATAATCTTGGTGAACAAGAACAACAACAGCAACAACAACAACATTTGGATCGTGGGGTTTTATATATGCAAACAGCCGCTGCTGAGGCTCTTCGAAATATGGTGGTGAACAGCGTTGAGGATGCCGTTGTAGACATGTTGGCATCTACCAGCTTTCCCATCCGTCCTTCACAAGAGGAACAACAACAACAGCAACAACAAGAGGGATTTGTCTTTCGTGATGGATTGGTGACTCTTCTACTAAGTATATGGGATATTGTACAAGGGACACGACAGCAAACCCCGTCAGTGATGCCAATTGTGGATTCTGCAGAAACTGCAGATAAGGATGAAGAAATACATGAGAATGATACAAACCGAAAGGTGAATAGTGCCCCATTTATGGCTGCATCCCGTACTTTAGAGGAAATTCTTCAACTTATCGTTGTATGTGTGGAGGGTAGTGAACATATTGCGGAGGCCTTTTCTACACCGTTGGTTGTAAAGACATTACTTTCCATGTTGGAAGTAACAACGGGTATTGTTTGGGAAGCCTTACAGCACCCAGCACAATTGTATGTTCCTGCTGCTCCTACAAACGACACGGATAATAATAATAATAATAATAATAATAACAGGGGTCATATCCTTTTTCTACGTCATTATAAGCGCCGTGAAGCGGAGGCGTTAGCGGGAGTGGCAGTTGCAGCCAGTGAAGTCCTGCATGTATTAAGTGGAGAAAATGATGCACTTTCATCTCTTTTACAATCTGCAGAAATGATGGCACCTCATCAAACATTTCTTACAGATGCCCTGGATGCACCAAGAATTATGAATTGGTTACGTGAAGAAGTTGTCCCTTCTTCTTCTTCTTCTATGAATATTATTAATACTACCACTATTATTAATGGTGATGAGGGTAATAATAGTAATAACAATAATAGTGGTACTACTGAGGAAGATCCCACACTGTTATCGGTGGGGCGCCAAAATATTCTCTATCATCTCTGTGAACTTTCATTACATGTACAAGGCACACTTGTAAATGCCGTTGCTAATATCGCAAATGCCAGTCGTGTCTTGCCACTCACTGTTGCGGTATTAGATGCCCATCCACCCCATAGTGAATGGCGCCGTACCGTACCATTATTACTACAAACATGTCCATTACCGGAAGAATCTCGTGTGGCTTGTGTAACCCGTGCGGTGCGACGACTACGTTGTGATCAGGCAGCGGCACATGTTTTGCATGCGGTGGTGGATATTGTTTGCAGTGGAAATGCAGCGGATTTGGATGATGAGAGGGCATTTCAACAAAACCCACAGTCAAGTCTTTTATACAGCTCAAATGCCATGTACGTGGTGGGTAAACTAATGAAGGATGCGCTGCGACTAACCACACACACAGGTGGTAACACACATAATGATGTTAGCAACCATACTAATAATACTAATAATAGTAATGGTGGAGTTACACCTCTCGTCTCTTCTGATGTTGTGGAAAGTGAAGAGGACATTATGGTGGAGCGGGCGTTGCGTTCGGCGGCTGGTACTTCTGGTACAGGTGGTCTCATCACAAAACTGCAGCTTCTGGTTTTATCTAATGAAGTGGCTGTATGGAGTCTTGCCAACACACTGTTATTAATGGTTCCATGGTCAGGTCTTGGTGAGGAACCATCACACATTTGGCGTGCCATTATTCATGCCGTCAATGTACGTTCAAAACTTCTTGCAGATGCGGCAGCAGAGGCATCTGTAGTAGATATGAATTCAGAGGAAAGTAATAATAATAATAATGGTTCAGGGGCGAAAGTAACGGCATTGGTTTCATCTCCTTCAGCAATGCATTTACTCTGGCTTCAGTTGGAATCTCTTGTACAGATGTTGTGGACGATGCAACGCAAACAAACCGCCAATGCCGGTGGGGCACTACAAACAACCAATCAATTAGGAACATGTGCAAGTGATGTGGATGTGATCACACGACTAGCGTGGGAACCACGTGCCACACCATTGCAACGACAAGCCTGTGTTGGTACAGTCTGTGCGATGTGTGGTTCATTCCATACAGCCGAGGCCACAGCCGTGGCCACTCGCTTTGCATTGGCTATACTGCAAGTGGATGAAAACACACAATCCGCCACAACTGCACTCACTAATAATAATAATAATAATAATAATAATAATAATAATGGTGGTACTATGGCCGCACCGCCAGCAGGACCTCGTGAACGTCGACAATGGATGGCGAAGTTCACCGCCGTAGATGCCCAGTGGCGTGTGCGATGTGAGGCGGCTAACCACATCATGGATCTCTTCCTTGATGAGACATATGATGAGAATGTGTACATTCCACTCCACGTGCATGCCGCACTACAGTCCTTCCTTACACTCTTTAAAGCATATCAGAAGCGGCGGCAGCAGTTAACACGAGAGGCACAACGTAATTACCGCATTGTGCTGCCAGAAGTAGAGGATGCAGCACACTGGTGTGAGGTGACGGAAAACCTCGCGGCGTTTTTGGATTACAAGAGAGAAAATATTGGAGCACAGCGCCTTGCCATGCCATAAGAGTCCAAATTAGCAGCAAGAATAACAAAAAAAAAGAAAAGAAAGCAGTACAAGAAGTAAATCCTTCCTCTGTGTACCTATGAATGTTTCTGTGAGTGTGTGTCTATGTATGTGTCTTCTTATTTAGCGAATTGAGTACATTCAGAAAGAGTACGTTAGCCCTGTATAAAAAGGAAAAAAAAAACATTGGAATAAAAATAAAGAGAGCAATGGGAAAGAAAGGAGTCTATGAAAGCTGTTAAAGTGTGCGAAGTACAAAGAAAAAAAAAACAATATAGAGTGGACAGTTACAGATAAAAGAATAAGAATAATAAGAATATTAAAAATATAATTTAAAAAAATGAGAGAGAGAGAGAGATACGAACTACACGTGACGTGAACAGTGGTGTAGGGTGTGCAGGTGAAGTTCACCTGTGTGCATCTACAAGCATGTTTTCTGTGTTGCAACGCCGTTGCTCTTCTTTTTTAATTCATCGCGGCTATAATATATATAAATCTGTGTGACCTTTCTGCTGTCGTTTTTTGTTGTGAGAAGGTTTGAGGTGCAAATCCTTTGTTTGTTTCTTGTCTTTGATTTCGATATTATGATGATGATGATGTTCTTTTCCCCTTTTTCTTTTTGTTTTTCTCTTCTTACCCATGCATACACGTGGTGTGTGCTTTTTCCTCCTGTTGTGGTAATGGTGGTTGTTTCTTTTAATTTATTCACTGCAAGAGTCAGCAAGCAAACATCTAGCTGGATACTAAAACAGTCTATTGGGCGATACATAATCTGACACCAACTTTGCGTGGCAGTATATTGTTTTCATTTCTACATTATCAACTTTGTGTTGTCTGTTTCTCTAATACTCATCAATGACCAACAGCAATCCGCACGGATCTGAGGTGCTTGTGGGTGTTATTGGCGGTTCTGGCATCTACCGCCTAGACGCACTGAAGGACGCGAAGTACTACACCATTGACACCCCGTTTGGTGCGCCAAGTGGTGAGGTGTGTGTGGCGAACGTAAACGGAGTGGCGTGTGCGTTTATCCCCCGCCACGGCCCCAATCACTCGCTTAACCCGAGTGAAGTCAACTACCGCGCCAATATCTACGCACTGAAGCTCTTGGGTGTACGCTACCTCCTGGCGGTAAATGCTGTTGGCTCCCTCGATGCGGCCTGTCACCCTGGTGATGTGGTGCTGGTGGACCAGGTGATTGATCGCACTGTTGGGCGACCATCAACCTTCTTCGAGAAGGGCATCGTGGCACATGTGGACTACGCCTACCCAACATCTAATGCCTTCCGCCAACTCGCCTATGATGCCATTCTCAAGGTCTTCCCAGACTCTGCCGCCCCAGTGGAGAACGTCAATAAGGATGACGAAATGAGCTCATATGCTGCACGCCCATGGCGGCTGCATAAGAGTGGGACAGCGGTGACAATGGAGGGACCGCAGTTCAGTACACGTGCAGAGTCACTGTGGAATAAGTCCCTTGGCGCCCATCTTATTGGCATGACAACTGCCACTGAAGCGAAACTCGCACGTGAGGCGGAGATGGCGTATCTTGTGATCGCCACCGTCACAGACATGGACTCATGGTGTGATGGAATTCCACACGTTCAGGCTGTGGACGCGCGGAGGGTGATGGCTGCAAACGCTGAGAAATCGCAGAAGATCATGGTGGAAATCATTGACGCCATTGGGCGTAGTCGCTTCACAGATCCCGCACACTCTTCCATGGCATATGCAGTGTGCACAAAGCCAGAGGCCATCACACGTGAAGTCCGGCTGCGTCTCGCCCCACTGCTGGCGAAGTACCCGCAGTTCGCACCATGAGAGTACCCACACAATGTGTTGTTGGGATGGATAGGAATGTAAGGTTGCTGTTGAAATCGGAATTATAATAACACTTGTGAATCAAGTGGGGAAAAATAAAGGGCTGGACAAGGTGTTTGATTTATTCCGTTTTTGAGTAATTTTGCATTTTTCTTTTAGTTGACGTTGATTTGTTTTTGTTTTTCGTAGATTTTGTTTTTGTTTTTCGTTGATTTTGTTTAAGCAAGTTTCGTAGATGAGTCAAAACGACTGGTTATTGATCCTCTATATTCACTATTACCCCTCTACCAGGTAATAGATAAATAATGGAGCACTGTGGAAAAAGAGAAATTTAAAAAAGGAGAAAAAAGGAAAGAAAGAGGGAGAGAGACAGACGAACTAGGCGTGACATGAACAGTGGTGTAGGGTGTGCAGGTGAAGTTCACCTGTGTGCATCTATATGCATGTTTTCTGTGTTGCNTGGTTATTGATCCTCTATATTCACTATTACCCCTCTACTGGGTAATAAGTTAAGAATGGATCATAGCGGAGGGAGAGCAGGTCTAGCATTTTGGTAGAAGTTCAGAAGGGGATGGTATGAGAACGAAAATAGGAACATGGAATGTAATGTAAAAAAAAAAGTTGGGAAAGTAGACATTGTTTATATTTTTTTTATGTTGTTGAGTTCTTTCTTTTTGTTTTCTATCGTTTTTAATTTTGGGTTTTTATGTATTTGATTTTTTTTCTGAGTACGTCTTGTTTCTAATGTTTTTTTTTTTCTTTTTCTTCTTTTTTTGCCTTTCTTCGCTTTTTTTTATTTCCTCTGTATTCTGTAATTTCATTGGTGAAATATAGGGCTGGGTTGTATTGTAGTTGTTTACCCCTTCTTCTGATTTGGGGAGAAGGCCTTGCTGGAGTATTATCTTTCTTGGATGCGAGAATATTCCAGTTGATACAGCGATCCCATAAATAAACAGTAAACCAGTCAAGCAAGTATATTTTTTTTATATATAGCTATATATTTCTCTGATGGGTGGAGAGATGTCTCGCAATAACGTTTGGAATGATAAAATTTCACAGAAGGTTACTGCTGCATCAGGCTCTTCCCATCCTAGTGATACCGAACAATTTGGAGAGAACACTACTGCTATTAGTGGCCATAATAATAATACTAATAGTAGTAATAGTAGAAGTACCAGTACAATTGGTATTAATAAAGAGGAGTATCCTGTAAGCACAGACAGTGGCGATAGAAGCGCCGTAGAAGATACTCCGAATATACCCTGCCAGACATGCCGTCACATAATAACGTACAATTGTAATGAAGAAGATAACACTGCTGTTGCTGATGGTGATAGTGATGATAATTTTGGAGAAATGTGTTATCATCATGAACAATCTGGACGGGCACCGCGGGGTTTCTTAAGTTTGTCTAAGAAAAAGGTAAAAAAGTCAAAGAAGGAAGAAGGGAAAGAGTGGTCATCCCCTTATATGCAACCAGATCAGGAAGATATGAGGCAGGATATGGTAACATCACAACCTGAAGAAGAAGAAGAAGAAGGAAAAGAAGAAGAAGAGGAATTCTTAACAAATAGAAAGAATCCTTTTCAGCCCAAGGCAAATAGGAATATGAAGGAGGAGGAAGATACGACTCATATGGGGATTACCGATAGTTATGTTCCTAGTAATACCGTTCAAATGGGTTCTAAGAGCCGAAAAAAGGTTAGTAATAATAATAATAATAATAATAATAATAATAATAATAATAATGGTGTCTATATCGTTCCAAATAAGAAAGATCAACAAAAGAGGCAGATGGTAGGGAAGAAGAGTGGATATCCTTCTTCTACTGTGATGGTGAATCCCTCATCAAGAGGTGAAAAGAACAACCAATATGCAGGCGATATCAATCCCTTAACAACACGGAATACTTCACAGAAGGTAGAGGATGATGGTCATGATAATGGGGTGGTGTGGTTGGAAATGGAAGAAGAATATCATGTAGAATTACCACCACAACCAACACTCCAACAACAACAACAACAACAACAACAACAGAGAAAAACAAATCCGGAAATGAATGAATATGAAAAGTATCATATCTTACCACAGTACGTCCTTCCATTATATCCATCTGCACAAAGTGCTCGAACGGTCTCACCACCTGCCACTCCAGCTGGACGTCTTAGTTCCCTTTTTGGATCTTCTTCATCCATCACATCAAGAGGACTTATTCAACCAAATTCTATTCGTGCGTTAGCAGATCGTGCACGAGTTGTATTGAGTGAATCTGGAGATTCCACCTCTCGTAGTTCTTCCACGTGGACTTCTGGTAATAGCCGTAATGGTAGTCGAGGTGGGAGTAGTAATTCTCGTAGTTTTCGACATAGTGATAGTGGTTTAGTAGGAAGCTACAGAGAAGAGATGATGGCGGTATTGAAAAATACATTACAAGAGAAAAAACAGAATGAAGCCACACCTATAAAAATTAATGGTTGTGAGAAATCACCAATCCCTGTTTCTTCTGTAAAGAAACAAGAATGGACGAAAAGGAAATCTCAGGATACGAATGTAAAAAAAGAGAGTAGTGGTGGTGAAAGTGGTGTATCTACACCATATTCAGGTTGTTATCCAGGATTAGGACCTCGCTTGAGAAGTACAATGGAGTGGGATTTCCTCGGTGAAGTTGTTTTTTCTGGAAAGCAGGAACCCAATAGTAATTCTAGTGGGAAAAAACGAAAAGTAAAGAAACATACAGAGGATTATTATTGGGGAATGCCTTCAACAGATGATTCCTCTAATAAATCCTACTCTCCAACCTTTTTGATGGACTTGGAAAGTGGATATGATAGTGGTGGTGATGATGGAGGAGGAGGAGGAGGAGGAGGAGAGAAAACTGGAAAAGTACCACCCGTTAGTAATGGGAATGAGAAGGGAGTTGTTAAAACTCGTTCTTCTGATGTTTATGGCCCTTCTGTAAGTAATGATAAGCGTAAAGATAGTGAAAGAGATGGAAAGAGTGGCCATAATAGTAATAGTGTACGAGTTAAAAGTGATAATACACCTCTTAAACCAAAAGTTATTCCATCTCTCTCTAACGGCAGGCTTAATAATAATAATATGAATGGTAATAAGAAGGAGAATAATAATAATAATAATAATAATAATAATAATAATGATAATAGTAATAAGGCTGATCCTAATATTGGTAATGATAATACTACTCCACGTAGGGAATCGGCACCGACGAATCCATTTGGTTTTGGTCGTGACCCTATGTTTGATAGTAATTATTATTTAGAATATTGGATGAACGAAGCCTCTGCAGAGAAACAAGAAAGAGAAAAAGAAGAAAAGGAAATGGGAGTGGTTGGCAACAAGCGTAAATCCTCCATTGGTATATATGATGATAACTTATCGCACATGAAAGGCAATCATAGTATAAAAGATAAAACCTCTACATTTAGTATGAATGGAATCAGTAGTAATAGTAATAGTAATAGTAAACATCGTAATGATCGACCTTCATTTCGTACATTTAGTTTACCTACGAATGTATTAGATGATACTAGAAAAATATTATTTCCTTCTTCTTCTTCTTCTTCTTCTGCCCCCTTTTCTCGTACTCGTACTCGTTCTCCTCCACACCGGCAAGAGTTTCGTCCTTTAATGTGTGAAAATGATCAAATAAAGGAATTTATTGAAAGGCAGCGAGTGGCACAAATTGAGAAGGGGGATGAGGAGGAGGAGGAAGATGATGAGGATTATGAAAAAGAGAAAAGGAAAGAGAAAAAGAAAGAGGATCATCATTTTTGATATGGATAGTGAGAAGAATATGAACGAAGAAAAGAGAAAGAGAAAGAGAAAGAAAGTAGAGTGGGATTCTAGAGAGAAAAAAAGAAAATAAAAAGAAAGAAAGAAACGATTAGATAAATAGAGAAAAAAAAAAACAGGGAAAACTACATGAAAGAAAAGAAAAAGAAAAGAGAGGGAGATTTGTATGAAGAGGTGAGTGTTCTCCTGTTCAGAGGCGGTCGTGTGTTTTCTTTTGCTTTTTTTTTTTTTTACTCGTTTTCCGTTTTTTATTTATTTATTTATTTATTTTTCACATTATTTATTATTATTGTTTTACTTTCTTTGAATTATCTGAATTCACTTTTTATTTTTTTTTCTCTCTGCTATTCTCCTTTTTTTTATCTTCTTTCGTTATTATTCATCACTATTATTATTATTATTATTATTATTATTATTATTATTATTATTATTATT